AAATAAAATTGTGACAATACTTTTAAAAATGTAATGTTTCAAGTTAAATAAACCTGTAAAAATAAATTTGATAAAGTACAAATAAAAATCTAGCCTTTTTTAACTTTTGCATGGTAGAACCAGAAGCTGCTGTTCATATTAGTGACAAACAATAACAGCAACAACAGCTGTTTGACAAGTTCAAAGTTTCTTTAAAATACATTAAAAATGTTTAAAAATAAACTACAAAAAATAATTTGATAAAGTGCAAATGAAAATATAGCTGTATCTGCAACTGTATTTGATAAAGTTTTGAACTTTTAAAATATTGTATGGTAGAACCAGAAGCTGCTCTTCATATTAGTGACAAACTTTGGCCTTTTTTGACGGGTTGCCTTCATTTTTGCTTCTACTTTTCATTTTTTAAAATATGTTTCCATTCTCGGCAGCTATCTAAAGTTCTGGTATCTAAAGTTCTTCTTCTACGTATTAAAAAAGTTGTTAAACATCTGAGTGGTGCACTACCGCTACTAGTGGTGAGAAAGTGTATTGCATCTTATTCAAAATCAATGCGGTCCCGATCCCCTGATATGAATTTTCAGGTCATACCACCCAGCCCTAATTTTGAACATAAACTGCCACATCAGTTTTAAAGAGAAGAGCATGATAAAAGGAGKTATATATCTCATATTTGTCATTTCTGTGAGGCAGGTCCTCCTCCTCCTCTTCCTCCGCTGCAGCCCGCCGGCATGGACGCTCCTCCCAACTCCATCCCCAGCGCCGTTCCCACCATCGTCACCTCGGGGATTCGCTCGTCGCTTCCCCAGGCTCCTGCGCCGCTCTTCACTCCCGGTAATAATAGACTGAATTTATCCTTTAAAACGAGGCGTTTATAAAGCAGTTATTACACTGATCCACGCTGTGACCTCTGCTCTTCAGACCGCTACGAYACAGACGTCTACAACCCGGAGGCTCCCAGCATCACCAACACATCCAGGCCCGTTTACCGCCACCGGGTCAACGCCCAGAGACCCAACCTAATYGGCCTCACCATGGGCGAGGTGGACCAGCCGCAGAGAGGTGCCGCCGTCAGCCTGGATCTTTGTTCKCCGCTCCTGAAATGTCATTTTTAATGCTTTGTGTTTTTCTCCAGACAAGATTCCCAACAACAGCATGAGGATCGTCATGGAGTCCGAGCACAGGAAGAGGCCGGCCGGTCTCCACGAGGGCGGCCTGCCCTTAAAGAAACCGTGGTTCGACAAGTGAGTTCAGGACAAACTGACAAGCCTGTCAGAGTCAGTGTTGTATAAAGTACCATAAAGTGATACTTGAATAAAACTACAAGTATCTTACCAAAAAATTACTTTGTTAAAAGTTAAAGTCTCCTTTTGGAATATTACTTGAGTAAAAGTCTTAAAGAATCTGATATTTTTTGTACTTAAGTATTAAAAGTCATAGTAACGATTTAAAATGAGCAGTTAGATTTTCTGTAAGGACATTTATTAGGAGGTGACCTCCCCAAAAACTGCAGAAATGACCGTTGTATTAAAAGAATGAATGGATGTTAAATTTAGGATGCACTAGTCCAGCTGTTTCAGTTTATATACATATATCAAGGCTGCACAAAGCTTTTCCCCAAAATGAAAATCTATCTGAGGGCTGCGGCCAAATGTAATAATATAATTCATGAAATACAAATACTTCTTAAGTACAGTCCTTTTATTTGAATGATTCTGTCCTGCTGGAGTGTGACATGATTTGTTTGTGTACAAACTAATACACTATCAGAGTTTTATATATTTATACTTCTCATTCAACCACAGTTAAATTCACTCTATCTAGGAGGCTCAGTTTATATGGATAGTTTTTATTTTTTATTATAACAAGCTGCAATGAAAAGCAAAAATGAAATAAAAGTAACTTTAAACTTCTTGACTTTTTTTAAAAATGTAAGAAGTAAAAAGTAGGCTGAAAAATAATTACTCAAGTAAAGTACAGATACCCAAAAATTCTACTTAAGTACAGTAAGAAAGTATTTGTACTTAGTTACTTTACAACTCTGGTCAGAAACATGTTGTTGGTCACACCTGACCGTGTCTCGTGTCTCTGTTCAGGCCCAGTTTCAACAAGCAGAACCAACCGGGCTTCCACAGAAGACCTCAGTTCTCTCCCAACGCAAAGCTGCTGGTTCGGCAGATTCCCCCCGAGCTCAACAACATCAGCAGGCTCAACGAACATTTCAGCAAGTTCGGCACCATTGTCAACCTGCAGGTCAGCTCCAGGGTTGCGCGCGTGTGTGTGTGTGTGTGTGTTGATCAGCTCTGAATGGAGCTGAAATAATCAAAAGCAGTTTTATTTGGTTTAAATCTGGAGAAACAGAAATCTGGAGTTTTTAAAGTCAGAAACTTCCTGTGAGAATCAGTAGCAATTTATTAGAACTAGAATTAAAAACAAATCAAAGGTTTAACAGAGGTTAAATGTATTTGTGGGGACATGAAGGGACAGACTGGACAAAGCAGGGACATGGTGGGGACTGACAGGATGTGTAGGGACAGGTGGGACATCCAGAGACAGGTAGAATCATTAACATAAAGAAAATTAACTTCAATAGTTTTCTGAAGCTGCGGTATTAATTAATTTTGTTCTTTAGCCCGAGAACATTACAAAATAACAAAATAATGATAAAATAACTAACTTTACTGTAATTCAATCTGTTCTACTATAATAATTGTAAAAATCAGAGGTGGGCTCAGTTCTGCTAATCTGCTCAGCAGAACTAGCTACTCATTTAGCAGATTAGCTTTTTTGCTAACTTTGGAAACCCATTAGCTTCCACTAAATTATGTTCCATTGACTTTAAGTCCACTAAAAAAATGAAGTGTAGAACTTCTTGTCAGGCACTGTGTGTAGCATGTAGCATCTTCAGCAGCTAAATTTCAAACTAAGAGCATCAAAAACAAATAAAATAACATTTAAATAATAAGTACAAAAAAACTGATTACACGTAAAATTTGGTATAGAAAGTATTTGCTATTTGTTGTTTGACTAACTTCAAACAGATTATGTTCCATTGACTTTAAGTCCACTAAAAAA